GGTTTTCACAGACCCTCACCAGGGGACTTTCCAAGGGTCCATTTTTAGGGCCCAAACAGACAAGCTTTCGAAAGAGATGGGGCCCCTGCAGCCAACTCCCATACCACAGGGCACTGGCCTGCAGCCCCCTTGCACTGGGGCCACTCGGCTTGATACCTCATCACGTAGCAGATAGAGAAACTGAGGCCCGGACAACAAAGGCACTGGTCTGCTCAAGATCACACAGCCATCGAGTGATGAAGATGGACCTTTATTCTTTTCAGTCTCTACCCCCAAAGTGGGGCAGAAGAGCCCCAAGAGTTCTGAGGCTAAGTCAGGAGGGCTTCCTGGAGGTGGAAACTCCCAAGGTGGAGCAAAGCCGACAGGAATGGTGGAAAACCAGGCATGGGGAAGGATGACCTGGAGAGGTCAGAACCCAGCCCTGGGCTCAGAAAGGAAGCTCCTGTCCATCCCTGCTCATTTCCTCTACCTGTGTGCAGGCTGTGCAGGCCCGAGGCAGCCCCCAGCCTCCTCCTCCTCCTGTGCCTTCGGCAAGTCCAGGTCCTTCCGGGGCCCATGCTTTCTCACTAAAATGAGCAGTGACCTCTACTTGTAGCTGTAAAGCCCACACCCAGGGCGACCCTCCTGAGCCAGCTCCCAGCTTCTCCCAGCTCCACGGCCACCTACCAACTTCCCAACCTTTCTGCACACCGCTCCTTCCACCTGCTGTGCCCTGTATCGAACTCGGAAAAGTGAACCCTGCTCTCCCTGGGGGATGACACCTCCTCCAGGAAGCCTTCCCTGAGCCTTCCCAGGGACCCCCGCAGCCAGCAGTGTCATCTGTCTTGCTGTCACAGCTTTCCTGGGCAGACTGGGGCCCCTCCAGAAGAGGACAGAAGCAGAGAAGCAGTCAGCCGCCCCTGGCCTGGGGCTGCTCTAAGACAGCCCAACCTTTCTGGGAGTAACAGGGCTCCACTCAACAGGTTCTTCCATACTGGGAAAGCAGAACATTTGCGCAAAAACACAGATCAGCCTGGGATTGCAACCCCAAGCAAAAATTATTAAGCTGGCTGTGGTGACAAACACCTATGATCTCTGCACTCTGGGAGACTGAGGCGGGAGGATCAAGAGTTCCAGTCCAACCAGATATGGTGGTACACACCTGTTATCCCAGCACTCAGGAGGCTGAGGCAGGAAGATCGCTGCAAGTTTGAGGCCAACCTGGGCTATATAATGAGTTCGAGGCCAGGCTGAACTGCACAGTGACCTGTCTCAAACAAACTAACAAACTAAAAAGCCAAATGCACAAAACCCCAGTCTTGTCACAAGAAAATCACCAAAGGCTCCTTGAGCGGCAGTCAACAAAATTCTGCCCAGCTGGCGGAAGTGAAACTGTCAGGGTCACCAGGAGCATGGATGCACCATCAATGCACAAAGGGAGCTGAGCAGACAGAGGACTCGTGTGATGCACGTACCCCAGAGGGCCAGGCGGGGTCCTGGGCTGGAGAGGACACCAGGAAAGCTGACCGATGTAAAACATGATCTCTAGATAATAACAGCAACTGTGCCACCAAGGGTGTATGGCAGTTCTCTGTTCTACATCCACAGTTTTTCTATAAATCTAAAACTGTACTAAAAATGAACAGTTTGCTTTGAAAAGTAGTATGTGTAGCCAGGCACAGCGGTTGGTGCATTCCTACAATCCCAGCACTTGGGGAGGCTGAGGCAGGAAGATTATAAGGCACTTCAGTGACCTAGCAAGACTCTATCTCAAAATAAAAAAGGGCTGAGGATGAGGGTGTATTTCTGTGTGAAGTCCCTGGATTCAGTCTCCAGGAACAACACACACACACACACACACACACACACACACACACACACACACACACGGAGTAGTACTTGTTTATTGTACCAAATATGGGAAAAGTAGAGCATTCAAGATCATAGCCCAGAGACGACTACACGATTAGCGTCAGTGCATTTCCTCCTCTCTTGGCTTTGACGTATCCTGTTTCTACAGATGAAATCTGTATACTTTTTTTTTAATCACAGCAGGTGTAAGTTTTTACCCTGACACACATTTCTAAAATGGAATTCCAGGAGTGCAGGGCAGGAGATGCCACGGAGAGAGAGATTTCCAGAGGAAGGGGTCCCTTGGGGCTCCTCACCTCCTGCCACCAGTACAGGACACTCGAGGCTGATGACCAGCCAGGACTGGGAGTCCCCCCACTTCCTTTGTGTGCAGGTGTGAGTGCCCGGAGAATGTTCCCCGCACCCCAGCAAGATCCCGGCCCCCAGTGCCAGAAGCCGGGGCCCTGAAAGCCACTTCTCGTAATAACGTCCACACAGCTCGGCAAAGCATGACGTTCTCCCAGGACATCAAGGGCCCGATTTAACCCTCCCTGGAGGGTTTGTCACATCCACAAATAGCTCACAGCTCAAAGCCATCACACATGGCTGGCTCCAGATGACAGTCAGCCTGGGCAACTGGCACATCTGCACTGTGCTGCTCTAACCAGGCAGATGTTCAAGGTCTTGTCTGTACACCTGCCACCCAATGGCTGGGCAAGGGAAAGTCCCCAGCCCCTGCCCTTTCTGGGAAGGAGTGGGGGCCTCTCGCCAGGAGAACAGGAAGACAGGCCCCCACTGGAGTCAGCTGCAGACCCCAGCCCAGGGTCGACCAGCTTGGCCTGCATCCAGCTACTCTCCTGTTCTTGGGCCTCCTCTGGCTCTAGAACATTCCATGGCTCCCCATGACTAGCATTACAGGCAGTGATTCTCTAGTGGGAGCCATCATGCCCCAGGTCTAGGTGGCACAGACAGCAAGCGGGGCGGTGCTGTTGGCCTCCGGTGGGCAAAGGCCAGAGATGCTGCTCAGCTTCCTACATGCATAAAAACTATCCTGCCCCAAATAGCCATGGTGCAGTAGAGGGAAGGTCCAGATTCTTGTCTTGCCCCTCGGAGTTCCCGTCCCCTCCTCCTCCCCCAGCCTCCAGTTGGCCTCTGCATGGCCACTGGACAAGTCCCACACACACACACCTTTGCACACGCACTTTTCCTCCCCCGTCCACAGCCCCTGGCCAGACTGCACCTCCAGTCCACGGTGCCAGCTCCGAGGTGAGCCCCTGATCACTCGGCCAGAGCCTCCAGCTCTGTGCATGGGGACTGCACCTAGCTTCACAGCTCACAGGTGAGGACCTGGCTGGGACACTCAAGAGGAAATCTGCAGTAGTGCTGCACAAACCCACGCGGAGGACGTTCGCCTGGCATCCGTCAGCAACACTGAAGCATCAGCAGCCAAGTCATGAAAGCAGCTTCCTGCTGCCCCACAAGTCAGAAGTGCCACAGCCAGCGCCCACATTCCTCTGTAGCAACAACTGCCGGAAGCAGGGGGGCCACCGGGGTGGATGGAGCAAGAGCCCCCCAGATCCCTCTGCCCTCCAAAGCCACTCCCGTGACCTGCCTGGACCCTGGAGACACTGGACACCCCTGTGCTGTCGACACATGAGCACCTCCCCAATGCGCTGACTTTATGAAGGGGAACCAGGCTGAGACAGGATCATCCAAGGCCACACAGACAGGGGCAGAGCTGGGGTAGGGACGCAAGGACCTTCTGCAGGCTTCTCTGCCCACCACACTGTCCTTCTAAGTGTGCTGCACTCTCGGGGGCTGGAGGCCCAAAGGACTTCATCTGGGGACAGACGAGATGTCATTTGCCTCTCAGGTCTTGCACTGGCAGGAGCTGAGGTCCTCCAGAAACTGGAACAGGGGATCCGACAGCTTGGGTCCAAGTGCGTTGGTGGCATTAGTGTGGCATGTTGGCACATCCCTAAGAAAGCACTGTGAGCCAAACACTGTTCTATGAGCTTTGTAAGCATTATCTCCTTGACCTCACAACAGCCTTATCAGGCAGGCATTATTTCTATCCGCATTTTTCCGATGAGGAAACAGGCTCAGAGAGGGTAAGCTGCCAAGGCTATACAACTAAGAAGCAGGGAAGCCAGGGTTTGCATGCTGCAGTCTGGATCAGAGGCTGTCTGCTAACTGCTGAGCAGCAGCAGCTCATGAAGGCTGACTTCGGACACAGCCCTGACCGCCCTGTGTGACACGAAGAGGATGCAGCCAGCTCTCAGCAGCCTGCAGCTGCCCGCCACAGCCGGCTGCCTTGGGCCCATTTGAGGAAGCCCTTCCAGGGCCCTGAGAGAGCTGTTAGCCACAAGCTCTGAGCCGCCTTAGCAAGGAGATACCTGGGGCTGGGGCAGCTGGACATGGCCAGGAGTTGGGTGTGGGATGTGGATCTGGGCGGGGCACAATAGGGACCCTGACATTCTACCACCCGTCGGGTGGGGAACCCTGACCTGAGGGTCACGCTGAGATGACAGGAGACAAAGGCCACACGAGACTGTGCACAGCGCTGCCCAAACAGGAATCCCTAGAGCTGCTCCCTTTTACTCCCTGGGAGCTGGGTCCAGGCCGTCACCCTACTGGTCAGCTTGGGATCTCGAGCTTTCTTTGCTGGGAGTAGGCCTGGGCTGGGCTGAGGGACACAGGCTCAGCCCCCTGCCTCCCAGTGGAAGCACAAGGAAGAGGTTCCAACCTCTGAACAGTCCAAGCCTGGAAGAAGGAATTAGGCCTGGGCTGCGTCACATCCTGGAACGACCCCTGCCTGCGCTCCTCCCAGATCCCTGCCTCAGAAGCACTTTCCCATCTGCTGCCTCTGCTGCAATACCCCTGGGGCTGCCATTCTGCTCCATTTGTGTGAGGCAGGAACTAATCTCCAGAGGGAACACAAGTTACCCTGGCTTGGAAGGAAGACTCCTCTACACTGTTCTGCTGTGCTCCCTCCCCCATCTGACAGAGGGGGAAACTGAAACACGAAGTGGGAAAGGATTTGTCCAGGGACCCATGGGACAGCAGTCCTCCCATCGGAGAGGCTCAGCAGGTCTAGGGTCTCACACACACACACACACACACACACACACATGCACACAGTCACACAGCCCCGGGACAGCCGCACTCACCACATGGTAGATGGCCAGGGCGGTGGTGGCGATCCTGACATTAAAGCAGCAGCAGATCTGGCGGACAGGAGTCTCGCGGGGGGCCATGGTGCTGCGTCCCCTCCTCTGAGGCACTGAGGGGAAGGAGCCAGCGCCCAGAGCTAGTCAGAAAAGGGGAAGCTACAAGCTGCCCGCCTTACTTCCGCCCTGCCACAGACAGCAGGGGCACAGGCGTCACAACTGGGCGGGGTGGCTGAGAAGGGGGTGGGGGACCACAGCTGCCTCAGAGAGACCACAGGCCCACTGCAACTCGGGGGGCCAGGAAACCTAGCCAGGTCTGGGCTACACAGCACCTGCCCTGGATGCTCACCACTGCCCTGGGGAGCCAGAAGAGTGGCCAAACCCATATCTAAATAAAGAGCTGGGCAGGATGGTGCACACCTATAATCCCAGAACTCTTGGAAGCTGAGGCAGGAGGATTGTTGTGAGTTTGAGGCCAGCCTGGGCTACATAGTGATTTCAAGACCAGCCTGAAATACAGTGAAGCCCTGTCTCAAAACAAATAAACAAAAACAAAATGGGGGACCATGCTGGGAATGTGGCTGAATGGGAAGATCCTAGCTGGGCAGGATGGTGCACACCTATAATCCCAGAACTCTTGGAAGCTGAGGCAGGAGGATTGTTGTGAGTTTGAGGCCAGCCTGGGCTACATAGTGATTTCAAGACCAGCCTGAAATACAGTGAAGCCCTGTCTCAAAACAAATAAACAAAAACAAAATGGGGGACCATGCTGGGAATGTGGCTGAATGGGAAGATCCTAGATTCACTCCCCAACACTAGAAAAAAAAAAAAAAAAGAAAGGAAAAAGAAACAAATCTGGAGAGGTCTAGACACTCACCCAAAATCACATAGTAGTTAGTAGTAATGGCAGGATTCAAACCCAGATCTGTCTAGTTACAGTAAATCCTTTTCCTCCTAAGCATACATGTGGATTACTTCCTTTATGCCTCTCCACAAGCCTTGGAGTGAAGTGCTATTACTACCCCTATTTTACAGATGAAGAAACTGAGGCACAGAAAGGGGAAATGACCCAGCAAGTCAAAGAAGAAGAAGGGATTTGAGCCAGACTGGCTGACTCTACATGTGTCCTGGGAGCTGACATTCTGTCCCTCATCCCAGCCTTAGGGAGAAGCATGTTTTTTCTATGCCCTGCAGAGGTAGCAGGACAGAGTCACCGCTAAGCAGAGCCACTGATCAAGCTCAGGCACTAAGCGAGGGGTTCCTCCAGCTGATCTATAACTCCTCCTGGCAATCTGGACACCCTCCATCCAACTCCCTTTTGTGGACCTCAGGATGCCCAGTACATAAAATCAGGATTTTTTTTTCCCCTCACTCCTGAGAAAAGTCAGAATTCATAAACTTTGACCACTGAACAAGTTAACTTAGACCTTTACTCCCTCCTCATAAACTATCCATACTGCAATAAAGGAAGGGAATACAAAGCAAAATGCCTGTAAGAAGTTTCTAGCAGACAGCAGAGCCGGAAGTGCTGTGAAGCCCCACCCCCACACTTGACATCATGGGGTTTGGATTGGATACCACAGTGGTCCATCATTTCCCTCCTAGGATAGGTTATAAAATGTCTGTAAGCCCCTCTCCCTTGGCAAGAGTGGATCTGTTAGGCCCACAAAACTTGGCTGTGAGACTTGATCATATCCTTCTCTGTCTTTGAAACCAAGGGGAATCTGCAAGATTTGGCCTGGAAGACCCAGCCAATCCCTTTCTTATTTCATTTTGGGTGTGAATGAGACCTGACATCCTAGCAAAGTGATGCCCTGCAATGATGAGCATATCTGGCCTAGGATCAAAGCCCAGCACCTTCTGGCTCCATAGCCAAAGCAATGAAAGAAACAGCAAGCCCAGAGGAACTGGAGATTGAGAAAGTATCCTGGTTCCTGAGTCCATGCTCAGGTTTCCATATTTGATTGTGCTAGGAAGCCACTGGAAGATTTTATTCCATAAGAAATGATGGGCGTTGATAGCATTATGATTTGGCAAAACCAGAGCCGGTATGGAGCCGGTTCCCAAAGATAAGCATGAAACACTGATGGTGTGTGGCAGAATTTTATGTGACTTGAGAATGAACATTTTCATTTTGATAGCGATCTTTTTTTTTTTTTTTTGGTACCAGGGATTGAACTCAGGACCTTTTGCTTGCCAGGCAGGCACCAGAACCACTGAGCTAAATCCCCAGCCCTCTTTTTAATTTCTTAATGGCTGAAAATAGTTCTGACGCTATTACAGAATGGTTAGTGAGGAGATGGCAATGTCTTTAAGGACGACAAGTATATTCTTTGTGTGACTGTGTGTAGGGAAGTTGATTTGTGTTGCAGATAAATATTAGCTTTGAAATTTTAGGGGGAGTATGATTTTTTCAATGAATTCCCCCAAATGATTTATAAAATTTTATTTTTTGAAGCAAAGTATTTATTGGCACATTTTAGCTGTACTTACTGATATATCTATCGTAGGAGCTTGTACCTGTACATGATCTACTTTGCTTGTTTTTTCCCCATTTCCCCCTCCCTTTTCCCCTCCTTATTTATAAAGGCTTTGTTTGTTTCCATTTTTTCCTTCCATTCTCTTTTTTCTTGTCCCTTTTCTCCTTTCCCCTCTTCCCTCCCTTGTTCCCCTTCCCATTTGAACATTTTTTTCCCCATTTTCCCCTCATCTACGGTGCATTTTGGTCCTCACTGCCACTTTCAGTTTCTCACACCAGAGAAAAAATACAGTATTTAAATATGTGTGTCTGCTTTACTTCTCTTAAGAGCACGGTCTCGAGGTGCAACAATTTAGTTAGAAATGTCTCAAGCTTATCCTTCTTTATGGCAGAGTAGCGTGAGAAATTTATTTCAATGTGCATTAGAAGTACCTATAACAAGCGCATGAATTCTGTGATATTTTTCACTTACAGGAGTAACATAGTTTCATTTTAAAACAGATGCAGTTAAACCAAAAGGCAGTAAGCCTATTTAAAGAAAATACTAAGAAACCTTCGCACGCCTGCGGTGTGGCAGACAGCCACGGAGGGGAGTGGGCATCGTTGGCTTGAGAGTCCCAGGCATGGGAAATCCCAGCTCCCCGTAGGTAGTGGTGTGATCTCAGGAAAGACACTTGGTCTCTCTGAGCTATTGTTTCCACACTCGCAAAATGAGGAGTCTGCCGGGCAGGGCTGTGGTAAAGATGAAATCGGATCACATGGGTGCATCTGTTTGTTTCCTCCCTCCCCTGCCTTCCTTCCCCCATCTCCGCCATTCTCGGGGCCACTGGCAGTGGCAGGGTTGGGATTTGAACCCAGCCTCCCGCACCTTTAGGGCCCTGGCTGGGGCCCCTTACTCAGGCCCTATGAAACACAAGCCTGGCCTCCCCGCAATTCCCTGAGGCAGGGAATGACTGGTATCCCAAAAGTAGGAGCCTTTAGCCGTGGCCACGGCACTAGGCCAAATAAAGCACCCCACACTTACACACACACACACACACACACACACACACACACACACACACGCACCTCCTAATCTCTCAAACTCGTGGTCTTGTCTACCATTTCTCAGGGCAAAGGAGCTTCATAGTTGTAAGTAAATTCAAAGTCTTGAGATGAGGAGTTTTTTCTTGGATTATCCAGAGAGGCCCAATGTGATCAAACAGGGCCCCACAAGTAAAAGAGGAACACAGGAATATCAGAATCAGGAGAGATCAGAAGATGCTGGCCCCTGGATGGAAGGAGGGGCCAAAAACCAAGGAATCCAGATGGCTTCTAGAAGCTTTTTGAAAAGGTCAGGAAACAAATTTTCTTCTCAGGGCTCCGAACCTTGATGTTAGTCCGTGGAGAACCATTTTGGCATTCTGGCCTCAGAACTGTGAGATAAGTGTGTGCTGCGTGTGGCCTTTTGTGAGAGCAGCAATAGGAAATGATCACACTGCAATCTGTGGTGGGGCTGGAGCCCCCAGACACCCTCCACGGAGACCACAGTCTCCTCCGCACAAGTGTAGCCCATGACTTCCTCACTGTGTGTCACCAAGCAAGCTGTGAGCCTCTCCGGGGCTCAGCTCCTCCCTGAACAAAGTGGGGATGATTCTAACGCCCATCTCCTGGGTGAAGATCAAATAGGAATGTGCACACTCACGGACAAGACTGCAGTCACCCTGTGTTCGTGCTCTGTCCTTTTCATTACAAATCACATGCTCTGAGCTACTGGGGGTGGAACCCAGACCTCTGCACTTTTCATTTGGTATTTTGAGACAGGTTCTCACTAAGTTACTAAGTGTCGCCCAAGCGAAGCTTGAGTCTGTGATCCTCCTGCCTCAGCCGAGCCACCATATCTAGCTCCAATCAAGTTTTATACCCTCCTTGCTGACAGGTGGAGTCCTGCAAAACTCGGACCCTCCAAACTCATCATCCTGAGAAGCAATGATCCCATTTTCACAGCCACAAAGGCCTGAATCAAACCTGCTCGGAGCACTGTCCTTGCAAATGTTATTTCTGACCCAGGAGGTCTTCTATGATTCCCTGACGTGGAGGTTGATTCCCGTATCCTGAAAAGTCTTCTGCGCTCTGCAAAGTCCATGCCTCTGGCTGGCTGTCCTGCTCCATCGTTTCCTGCCAGGGCATATTAATATTTCAACATTCGTCTTGGTTTTCTCAAAGGCGGAGTTACTTTTGCGCTTTCTTTGTGAAGCCAGAAGAACGTTATTGGAACTTCCCTCCCCACCTACATGCCTAGAGGTAAAAATAGAACTCCCTACTCTGCCAGGTTTCATGTTTAAACAAAGAGTCTGGGGTCATGTGTCTTTTCGATTAATCCAGATAAGGCATTTGGGAGGGCTGGGGTCAAGTTTGGTCTGCACAATAAGGACTATTTTGATTGTGATTGTTGCAAGGATTATTTCTGTCCTTGGCTAAATCTTTCCCCAGGGAGCCTCCCCCAGCCTCAGCCGGGAGGAAAGAAAGGGGAGGTGTTGATTTGCTGACCTCAGGGGCAGTGGCTTGCAGCAGGACACACAGCTGGCCTGCAGCAGAACCTTTCAGAAAGCAGATCCTCCTTGGGGACCATGGCTGGGAGGATACGTCGGGGATCCCTCCCTGCTACAGGGCGTCTTCCTGCC